CAGGGATTGATTAAACTCTGTGGGTTAATTGATTTAACGCCATAAAACACATTACAAGTTGTGAAGCAGACATTACAGCAAACCAACTGATTTCTCTGTGTGCAGCTTGCAAACCTTGTACTGCCTGACTGTCAGGAAGAGTTGCAGCATTGAATACCCACATGGCACACTTTAAAGTGTTTAAAGGTGAATCCTCTCAAAGGCAAGATACACTTTTCAAGATCACCCGCCTTTCCAAAAGAAAATCTAACTAAATACAATATCAAGTGAGCCTGTCAGTCTCAAAAATGTATAGGTAATTTGCTGATATATCCAGATCTTGAGATGGTGACTTAGCTTATCTGGCGATGTTAACAAGTTAAACTGCAATTGCTGATCTGTTCTAGGATTTGCTTATTCAGACAAGTTTGCTTCTTAAGAACTTGCAGCTCATTTAAAGCTTCTGATTTTACTCACTGGCTCCTTCTAATTCGATCAAAGTTTTAGCATTCTGTTGGTCCAGTACATTTTCTCCTTCATAAACTGCTGTAATAACGAACCAGGACATCCAACTCCTTTTTCGTTGTTGTTTTCTTTGAAGTCTGGTCTTCATCCATTTGGTGGGTTAACTTCCTCTGTGCCGTGCTTGAGTTCTTTCACTGGAGCATCATTGCTAGCATTTAACTTTGAAGAAGTTGTCTTAAGAATTCATGGTGAAGCTCATGGTTTAGGGAGTAACATATCAACATGGATAGAAGAATATCTGGCTAACAGGAGCAGGGAATAGGCATGTATGCAGGCTGGTAAGATGTATCAAGTGGTGTGCCAGTTTGTCAACGTGATTTGGATGAAGGAAAAGAAGGTATGGTTGCCAAGTTTGCTGATAACAACAAGATAAGAAAGTGAATTGTGAAGAGGACATCAGGAGTTACAAAAAAGATACAGATAAGTTCAGTAAGTGGGCAAAGATGTGGCAAATGAATTATAAAGTGTGAAAATGTGAAATTGTCCATTTGGCAGGAAGAATAGAGAAGATACACACTATCTAAAAAGTGAAAGATTGCAAAGGTCTGAAAAGCGGAGGATCTTGGTGTCCCAGGAATTACAAAACGTTAGTGCGTAGTAAAGCAAGGAATTATAAAAGCTAATAGAACTCCAGGGGTACTGATACAAAAGTAGAGAGTTTTGGTTCATTTATATAGGTTGTCAGTGAGACTATATGCAGTGCTGTGCATGATATTGGTCACTCATTTAAGGAAGGGCATAAATGTTTTGGAAACAATTCAGAGAATGTTGACTAGATTCATACATGGTATGGGGAGATTGTCTTATGGGGAAAGGTTGGACAGGCTGGGCTTGTATTTGTTGGAGTTTAGAAGAGTAAGAGGTGACTTGATCAAAACATATAAGGACCTGAGGAGTCTTGGCAGGGCAGATGTGGAGAGGATATTTTATCTTATGGGAGAATCTAGAACTAGGGGTCACTGTCTGTTTAAAGCAGATATTAAGCAAAAAACTTTCTCTCATAGGATCATGAGTCCTTAGAAGTCTTTTCTTATATTTTTAAGGCAGAGGCAGATTGACTCTCATTAAGCAAGGAGGTGGAAGGTTTTCAAGGGTAGGTGCGAATATAGATTTGAGGTTACAAACAGATTTGCAATCTCTAATTTCTTCGGTATTGCTTTGAATTCAACCTGATGTCGCTACCCTTGTTGAGCCTGATCTGTTTAAGTGCGAGTTGTGCCAGATCCTCCTGTAAACAAACCAGCAAACATTTCATTGGATTGAGGATACTGAGCTCGTAGTTCATCCTGCTTCCTTTCTTTCTGTTCCAATTCTTTATTCATTTTTGGGAGCTGAGCAGAGATGTCCCCTAAAGACTTCTTCATCCTAGAGATGGTATTGTCAAGTCTAGATTTATCGTGAGCTAATTTTTTAGCCTTTTCCTCTTGAACTTTCATTTGTTTTTCCAGAGCAGAGAGCTAAGACTTTAGCTCCACTAATTCAGAAGAAAGTGAAGTGGTCCATTCTTCTTTCGTGTTCAGTTCCAGAAGTGTTTCTTAAATATTCTGCTGCAATTTCAGTTGTATCTCTGATGTTTAACTGATTGCATGGGTTTTGATGACATGCTGGTAATTACCTCATTAACATGATGTTTTCCACCGCTGTTCATCGTGTCATATTAATGATAATTTTCTAATAATCATTCAATTGCCAGGAATTGATTAACTCCAGGTGTTAGTTTATTTAACACAGTAAAACATGTTACAAGTTGTTATAGCAAACTAACTGCATTCTGTGTGTGTGCAGCTTGCAGACTCAGAGCAGACTAACTGCCTGGAAGAGTCACAATATTTTGTACATATTGCACATGTAATCAATAAAGGTGAATTATCTTCAAGCCAGGTATACGTACAATAGGAAGAACAGAATGACTAACAACAGTTGCCTTGCAAAGACCAAAATAAAAGTGGAAGCGATTATGATCTGAAATTGTTGAACTCAATGTTGAGTTGACTCAGTTAAAAGCAAAATGTGATTAACTAACTTGATTGTCAATAAGGTAATAGAGAGGCTTGATGGGGGGAATAGAAAATAGCAGCAGGCGCAGGCCATTCAGCCCTTTGAGCCTGCTCTGCCATTCACTATAATCATACCTGATCATCTAAGTCAATATGCAGTTCCCACTTTCTCCCCATACTCTTTGATCCCTTTAGCCATAAGAACTGTATCTAACTCCATCTTGATAATATTCAATGTTTTGACCTCAACTGCTTTCTGGGAAATGTTAGTGACGTGACAAACTTTACAGAAGCACAGTGGCAGAAGAAACGTGGGAATGCGCAGAAGGAAGATCTCTGATTGAGTGCAGGGTAGGGAGAAATTAAATGACAATGGGGTAATGGAGTAAGGGCAAATGGGATGGTCATGGGTGAAGAAATTTCTCCTCATCTACATCCTAAATTGCCTACCCTATATCATTAGACTGTCACCTCCTCGTTCTGGACTGCCTGGTCATTGGGACGGTCCTTTCTCTGTTTATCCTGTTTAGCCCTGTTAGAATTGTATCAGTTTCTATGAGATCCAGTGGGCTGGCTATGTACATGGACTTCCCAAAGGTGATTGAAAATGTGCCACGTAACAGGCTTTTCAGCAAAGCTGAAACTCATGGAATCAAAGGGACATTAGCAGGATAGCTACCATATTGGCTGAATGACAGGAAACAATGAGTAGTGATTTGTTGGTTTAAAGACTAGAGGAAGTTATATAGTGTGGTTCTCCAGGGATCGTGGTTTGGACCCCTACATTTCCTGACATACATATTAATGACCTGAACTTGGGAGAACAGGACAGACTTTCAAAGTTTGTGTGTGACTTAAAACTTGAAAGTAATGCAAACTGTGTGGTAGACAGTGATAGATCTCAAGAGGATACAGGCTCATAGAGTCGGCAGATGTAGCAGATGAAATTTAATCAAGAGTGTGAAGTGACACATTTTGGTAGGAAGAATGAGGAGAAGCAACATAAAATAAGGGAAACAATGTCAAAGGAATGGAGGGACCTGTGAGAATGTGTGTACAAATGGTTGAGAGAACAATTAATAGTGGAAATGAGGTCCTGGGCTTCACAAGTAGCTATATGGAGTACAAAAGCAGGGAAGTTATGATGAATCTTTAAATAACTGGTTTGGTCTCAACTGGAGTTTTGAAGACACAATACTATTGGAAGGATGTAAATGCATTGGAAAGGTTGAAGAAATATTTGAGAGAATTGTTCTGGGATGATTCAATTCAATTAATGGTAAGATTGGAGAAACTGGGCTGTTCTCTTTGAAGAGATTTAATTGTGGTGTTCAAAATCATGAGGGGTTTGGACAGAGTCAATAGGGAGAAACTGATCCCATTCATGGAAAGATTGAGAACAAGGGCAGACCAATTTAATGTGATAGTAAAAGAAACAGGGGCAGTATGAGGAAAAGCTATTTTGTGCAGCAAGTGGTCAGGATCTGCACTGCTCTGTCTGAAAGTGACTGGATAATTATCTGAAGAAGGTCGACTTGCAATGCAGAGGGAAAAGGTGGAGAGTGGGTCTGATTGTGTTACTCTTGCAGCGAATTGGCAAGGAATTTCAAGACTGGGGGGACATTTTTAAGGTGAGAAGAGAGAGATTTAAAAAAGACATTAAAGGCAAACTTTTTACACAGAGGGTGGTTCACATGTGGAATGAACTTCCTGAGGAAGTGGTGGATGCGGGTACAATTACAACATTTAAAAGACATCTGGACGGATATATGAATCGGAAAGGTTTGGAGGAATATGGGCCAGGAGCAGGCAGGTGGAACTAGTTTAGTTTGGGATTAGTTCAGCATGGACTGGTTGGACCGAAAGGTCTGTTTCCATGCTGTATGACTCTATGACTCTATAAAACACTATGGGCTGAATGGCCTCTTTCTGCACTGTGATGATGCTGGCTCTTCTTGAGCCTTCTCTAGACTTGCCTTTTGTTTCTTTTCTTGTCCCATGATCATCCCATTTGGTCTTGCTCCACCATCCCATTTGCCATCTAATTTCTCCCACCTTGCACCCTATGTGAGATCTTACTTTTGTGTTTTCCACTCCATCCCCATTTCTCCTGCCAATGTGCTTGTGTAAAGTTTGTTATGTCACTAACATTTCCTAATTTTAGTGAATTGGTGTTGACCTCTCCTCACAGGTTCTGCCGAACCTCCTGAGTGTTTCCAGCATTTCCTGTTTTTATTGGAGAATTCAGAATGTCAGACTGGGAGAAATAGGAAGAATGTGTTTTTCTGATTTTGCATTCAGGTGCATTTCTGTAATTTTGCTAGATCTGTGAATCACACTTAAAATTCATATAAATTTCAGCCCCATCAAAATTGGGACAAGGAACAATGGATGTGTTCCATTTCAAGTATCTGTTCATACTGATGTATTCATTGGACTGAAGACTTATTGATTAATTGAAAAGATTTTAATGTCTACACTCTTTTGTTTATTACGCAGGGTCTGGAAGGTCTAAAGGGAGAGCCAGGGATCGCTGGAAGGCCAGGTCCCAAAGTGAGTAAAATGTGTTTCAGTTTTCATTGGGAAGCAACAAGGAAGAAGGTTGTTGAGTGCTGAGAGATGGCCTGGGTAATGATCTTTTATTGAGAAACATCACATTGGAAACTCTGAGTATGGAGGATAGAGAATACAAAGACAGGCTGCTGCTGTTTGTTGTTATAAGCTGATGTTTTTGTCCCTCTGGATCTTGAAATATTGCCAAATGATATTGCCAGATGACTTCAGTGTCTTTACTGATCTTCAGTGAAGACCAAGTCTTATGTATAGGATCCAACATTAATAAGTACCACAAATGCTTACATGAATATCCTTACATAATTCTCTCTCATCTATCGCACTGGGGGCTGCTGGAATAATGCCCTATTCTCCAGTGTATGCCTCTTGTGAGTCTCAAAAGAGGGTGTCACTTTAATTGGACAGATGGAGCAATGATGAACTTCATATTGTTCAGCATCAAATATGGAAAGAAGCTAAAGGATGACACAAAAAGTCTGCAGAGAAATATAGGTAGGTTAAGTGAGTGGGCAAAAACTTGTCACATAGAATATAATGTGGGAAAATGTGAAGTAATGCACTTTGGCAGGAAGAATAGAGGAACTGAATATTATTTAAATACAGAAAGACTGCGTAAAGGCACAAAGGAATTTGGGAGTCCCAGTGCATGATTCAAAAATACCCAGCATATAAGTTCTGCAGGTGATTGAGAAGGCAAATGGATGTTGGCCTTTATTTCAAAGGGAATAGAGGAAGAAATAGAGAAGTCTTGCTAAAATTATCCAAGGCACTAGTCAGACCACAGCTGAAACACTGTGAGCAGTTTTGTTCCCCATATTGAGGGAAAGAGAAACTAACATTGGAGGCAGTCCAAAGAAAGTTTACTCGACTATACTCGGGTATGGCAGGACTATTTAATGAGAAGACGTTGAGTTGGTTAGACCTGTAGTCATTGGAGTGTAGGAGAATGAGGCAACCTTATTGAAATGTACAAGGCTTTCAGCGGACTTGACAGGGTAGATGCAGAAATGTTGATTCCCCTTATGAGAAAGTCTAGGATTAGAGAGCATAATTTCAGGGGTCACTGATTTAAGACAGAGATGATGAGGAATTTCTTTTGTTTGATGGTAGTAAATTTGTGACAATCTTTACTACAGAGGGCTATTGAGCCTGGGCTGTCAAGTATATTCAAGGCTGAAACGGACAGATATTTAGTCAGTAAGAGAAGCAAGGTTTGGGGGAGAAGATAGGGAAGTGGAGTTGAGGATCATCAGATCAGCCATTATGTCATTGAATGGCAGAGCAGGCTCCATGGGCTGAATGGCCAACTTCTGATCCTACGTATCTTTCCCTCAATATGGGGAACAAAACTGCTCACAGTGTTCCAGCTGTGGTCTGACTAGTGCCTTGGATAATTTTAGCAAGACTTCTCTATTTCTTCCTCTATTCCCTTTGAAATAAAGGCCAACATCCATTTGCCTTCTCAATCACCTGCAGAACTTATATGCTGGGTATTTTTGAATCATGCTGTCTGCTAAATGAAATCTCACAGGATAAAACACTGAGACGTGTGGAGACTTGATGGGATTGTTCTCTGGGCGTGAAGGATAACAACAGATTTAATAAAGGCTTTGAAAGTGATGCAGGGTTTGTAAGAGTTGTTTGAAACTGTTTACAGCAGCAGGAGGGATGCTAATGAAAGGGCATAGGTTTAAGACTTTGAGAAAAATGGCAGAGAGAGAATTTGTTATTGCAGGCAAATGGAGCAGAGATAGATCAAATTGAATGGCAAAATAGGTTTAAGGGACCAAATTGTGTTTTTCTGACCCTAAATATCAATATTAATCTTGAGAAATGGTAAAATGATGACCCATTGGTGTGGCACTGACAATCCCATCAAGCTGCAGGTTAGGGATTGGGAGACTGGGCTCTCCTCTTGGGTGCTGTTACTTCCAGTGACACTGTTAATAATTAAATACTACTCTTTTGATGTTTGCACTGCATCAATCAAGTCTCCCTTCTGTCCTGGCACTGTGTTCTACTGCAGCACCAACAGGATTCCTCTCATTGTTGAAATGGGCTTCACTTTAGGAATCTGATCCTGAGGGCATGGTGGGGACAGTGACAATCTCAAACCTCACACATCGAACAATATCAGCCAATGGAGGGGAATATCAATGTGTTCCAGGAGAAGAGATTTGAATGGGAAAAGGGCAGGGGTGCACAGGAAGGCTGGGCAAGATAATTGAGGGGGTAAGTGGAGTGTTACATTCTGAATGTAAAAGTTTTCAGACATTTTAACAGATGTCTGTGCCAGGAAATAAGCCAACTAATATTTTATAAAAGGCAGGTGAGCTAATAATAATGTTACAATATGAAATGAGATGATTTCATCATGTGTTAGTGCACAACCATATCATTTTTGAGTTCTAGGATTAAGCCTAGTGTTGAGTGAGAGTGGAAAGCCCTCTTTTATGACTGTCAGAGTTTGGGAATTGCATTTGCTAACTCTGTCTCTGCGGGTTAGGTAACTGAGAGTTTCTCAAATCTGACTCCCATTCAAGCTCCATTGACAATCTCTTACATCACAAAATGATTCAGACTCATTGTGTGAGTTCAGTGGCAGACAGACCAATGTATTTCTGACATTCTGCAGGCAATTATTTTCAGGAAGATTTTAATATTCTTGTTATGATCTTGGACTGTCTTTCACTGAGGGGAAGAGGGAGTTGTTAAGAGAAAATCTCTCAATGTTGCATCAGTAGTGTATCTTGGTTTTGGCATTACAGTTGTATTTATAGTAATTCTGTTGCATTGAGCTGAATTAGTTTCCTTTGGGGCTTGAATCCAAAGCAAAACTGAAAGGAAATCTTTCAAGAGAAGAATAACACACTAGTTTTCATTGCAAAAACATTCCTTTCTTTCTGACTGCTTAAAATTTGTCATTCAGCCCCTTGAGCCTGTTTTGCCATTCAGTTTTATTTATTTGTTCATGGAATGTGGGCTAGACCAACATTTATTGCCCATCCCTAACGGCCCAGAGAAGATGGTGGTGAGTTTCGGTTTGAACCACTGCAAGTCCTTGGGTTGAAGAAACATCCACAATGCCAATAGAGAGAGGGGGATATTCCAGGATTTTGACCCATGAAGGAATGTTGATATATTTCCAAATCAGGAAGGTGAATGGCTTTAAGGGGAATTTGCAGATTGTGGTGTTCCTATGTATCTGCTGCCTTTATCTTTCTGAATGGTACAGGTTGTGGGTTTGTGGTTGTTGTCAAAGGGACTTTGGCCAACTTCTGCAGAGTATCTTGTATGTGGCACATTCTGCTGGTTCTGTGCATTGTTATTAAAGGTAGTGAACATTGAAGGTGAGGGCTGGGGTGCCAGTCAAATGGGCCATTTTGTCCTGGATGGTGTCAACCTTCTTGCATATTGTTGTAACTGCACCCATCCAGGCAAGTGGGGAGTATTCCATCAAATTCCCTACTTGTGCTTGTAGAAAGGGTGGCACGGTGGATCAGTGGTTAGCACTGCTGCCTCACAGTGCCAGGGACCCGGGTTCGATTCCACCCTCTGTGTAGAGTTTGCACATTCTCCCCGTGTCTGTGTGGGTTTCCTCCGGGTGCTCCGTTTTCCTCCCACAGTCCAAAGATGTGCAGACTAAGTGGATTGGCCATGCTAAATTGCCCATAGTGTTCAGGGATGTGTAGATTAGGTGGGTTATATGGGGATGGGTCTGGATGGGATGCTTTGAGGTTCAGTGTGAGCTTGTTGGGCCAAAGGGCCTGTTTCCATACTGTGGGAATTCTATGAAGTCTGTGAAGATAGTGGACAGGCCTTGGGGAATCAGGAGGTGAAACACTTGTTATAAAATTCCCTTGCTGTTGCCACCATAGTATTGGTTCATTCAGTTTCTGGTAAATAGTAACTCCCAGGATGTTCATCGTTGGGGATTCAGCGATGGTAATGCAATTGAATGTAAAGAGCCAATGGTTAGACTGTTCCTTGTTGGAACTGATCATTGCCAGTCAGTTGTCTGTGCTAATGTTACTTATTATTTACCAACTTAAGCCTGAATGGTGTCCAGGTTTTATTGCATTTGAACACGGGATGCTTCAGTATCCTGAAGAGTAGGAAGTGGTACTGAACATTGTGAAATCATCAGCAACTCCAATTAGCAGATGGGATCAGGAACTGAGTGGCCCTGGCAGAACTCAAACTGAGGGTGAGCAGGTTATTGTGAAGCAAGTGCTGCTTGGTAGTGTTGTTGGTGACACCTTCCATCACTTCACTGATGATGAAGAGAAGGCTGATGGGGCAGTAATTGGCCATGTTGTATTTGTCCTGCTTTGTGTGGACAGATACCTAGGAAATTTTCCACATTGGTGGTTAGATGCCAGTGTTGTGGCTATATTGGAATTGCTGGGCCAAGGCACGGCTAGTTCTGGAGCAGAGGATTTTAATACTATCACCAGAATATTGTTAGGGCCTTCAGCCTTTACTGTATCCAGTGCCTCCAGCCATTTCTTGATATCACATGGAGTGAATCTAATTGACTGCAGACTGATATCTGTGATACTGGGCACCTGTGGAGGAGGCTGAAATGGATCATCCACTCAGCACGTCTGTGAAAGTTTTGCACTGATGTGCTGGGCTGTTCCATCATTGAGGATATGGATGTTTGTGGAGCCTCCTCCTCCAGTGAGTTGATGAATTTTCCACCACCATTCATGATTGATTGAGGAATCACTGAGCTTTGCGTCTCGCTTGCCGTTTTTGCTGTTTGACGTGCACATAGCCCAGTGTCATATCTTCACCAGGTTGATACCTCATGTTTAGATATGTCTGCACCCACCCTCCTCCCCACTTGATGATAATTGTAGAGTGGTTGAATATAATTCTGCTGCTGCTTGCCCACAGTATGTCATGGATGCCCAGTTTTGTATAGCTAGATCTGTTCAAAGTTCACCCCATATAACATGGTGGTAATGCCACAC